GCGACTATGCTCCTCTCTCTCTTCCCCCACCAAGAACCACGCTTCCTCCTCCCAGCCGTACCGCTCCTCCTCAGTTGTGTCCCTATGCGCCGCTCCCGCCTTCTCCTCGTCGTGTGGGTCATCTTCAATGCGGCCATGGGCTTCCTCATGGGCGTGTACCACCAAGGCGGCGTCGTCCCGACGCAGCTAGCGATGCGCGACATCATCTCATCTAGCACAACAAACCAGATACCTTCCGCGACGGTCTTCTGGTGGAAGACATATTCACCGCCGCTGTGGCTTCTTGGTGGTGACAACCAGACCACAGAGATCCAGACGCAGGATCTCATGGGGATATCTGGTGTGGAGATGATGCTGCAGCTGGAGCAGGTTGTACCCAGCTGCTCGGATCCATCATCTGTGTTCCTGGTCGCGCCTACATCGGCTGCGTTCCTTGATGACTATGCCGTATCCGCACGTCAGAGCCGGGACCAGAACCTGCAACTTCATCCACTTTGGTCGTATCGCAAACACCTTAACCTGGATGACATGGACTTCGGCGACGATGGGATCCTGCCGACTCTGAAACGGGTCGTTGGGCGCCGTGGACTGGGTGTTTGGTCTGTGAGGAGATCTTGCAAATAAGTCTTACTTCTGTTTCTACTTCTTCTTGTTCATGAATTGTACTATATACTATATTCATGGATGGGTCGTTGTATTATGTTCATCTTCTGTATTTGGGACCTACACCCTCATTTGGATTTGAACTACAATCTCTCTCTTGTTTTTTTTTTTTTTTTTTTCTCTGAATATTTTCGGTGCATGTTAGGGTTATGGGTCCGTAAGATACCTTTTGCATTGGGGATGGGCGTGAATTGAGTTGATATCTTTGGGTTCTGGTCTACTGTACTTAGTTAGTTACCTCTACCTACATGTAAGTAGTACTAGTTCAATTTTTTCATTGACTTTTTATTCCTAACTAGGCTGGTCAGCTGGGTATGGTCTGTGAATATCACTGGCCATGGCCAATTCGAATGTCGAATAGCTACGATATATATATAGATCTATCATGGGGCAAAAGGGCATAAAAAGGCAACCAAAGAGGCAAGCTTTGAAAAGGCCATATGATAAGGGACGATAAGGGCTATATACATCAACTCGAGGCCAGGCCACGACATATAATAAATGCTGTGTGGGGACCTCGGGATATATTACTCTGTTTTAGGCGGTCTTCGCGGTTCCAACTCCCAAGTGGAGGTGAGGATATAAACTTCTCCAATCATGCGGATACATTCCAACCATTCGCGGGTCATCTGCATATCTGTCTACCTGCATATAAAATACGCGTGACTACCAATGAAAATCACCCCATGACAGATGACCAGATCGAAGATCGCCACTTATCCCAGCTACAATCCTACACAACTACTCACATACTCTATGTGCAGCGAACAGGTCCCATTTTGCCCAGTAAGGTAGATACATAACAGGCGTATTAGGGAGAGGGAACAGCGGGATGCGAAGAAGCCCAGTTCACACTCAGCAAGTAGAAGCTCAGAGACGCCAAGCTGAGCACTGGGTCGTATTCGTGGGAAGAGGTCCGGGGTGAGGAGAGTTGGGAATCAATTCAAACAGCAGCATGCTTGGTATTCATCATAGAACATAACGTTAGAGGGGGGGAAGTAAGGGAGGAAGAAAAGAAGTCGAGAGAGAGAGAGAGAGAACATATAATTCTTTACTGCTCATCCTCGTCCGGCTGGTCGAAGAGGAAGTTGGCAGCGAGCTCCTCGTTCTTGTCGCAGGCGAAGTAGGCCTGGATGACGGAGTCGCGGGGGAAGCCGAGACGGCACAGCTGATTATGGGTTAGTTATAAAAGACAACTAGGATAGAGGGTAGGGTATTCAACAACATACACGCTCAATAGCATCGCGCTCTTCTTCCGTAACCGAAATGGCCTGCGCGCCGGGTGGCAGAGCACCCTCCTCGTCCTCAAGTTCCTCACCCAGAAGCTGCAGGAATTGATCGGAGTTCTGTCCGATGATTGAGGCAATCTGGGGATTCCCAGCGGCGACCTGTTGCAGGATGGGCTCGAGCATGTGAGGCTGCTGTTGAACAAGCTGACGAAGCTGTTGGAAATGGGGGTTGCTGCGGAGGAACTCCAGGCTGCCGAGAGCTTCACCACCAGCGGCGCCGGCACCGGCACCAGCAGCACCGCGAGATCGGCCACCACCTTCACCACCGGCCTGAGCGGCAGCTTCGAAGAGGTTGAGGTGCGGCTCGTCGCCACCGGAAGGAGCAGCGGGGGCAGCAGGAGCAGCGCCAGTAGGGGCTGGCTCTGAGGCTTGTCGCTGTTGTTGTTGCTGTTCCTGGATGTCATCGGGAATACCCTGTCGTGATCATTAGCAAAGATTCAAGGCGTAACATCTAACCAAAAGCTTACGGTCAGAAGGTATTCGATGGCACGGTCAGGGTTGTAGAATGCGGCGCGCATGGCACGGTCGATATCAGTGCGTGCGAAGCCCATTGCCTCCATCTGAACAACTGCTCCCTCAGCGGCAGAGCCCATGGTGAGAGCGGAAGGATCTCCGAAGGCGGGACCGCTCGATGGAGCAGGAGCTGCACCGGCCGGGGAGGGGGTCGCGGGGGCGACAGAAGGGGGAGGAGCGGCAGCAGCATGAGGAGCCGGGGGAGGAGCGGGCGTTGACACAGGAGCTCGGGCAGCTGGGGTCGAGGGAACTTGGGAGGCGGTAGAGGCGGCGGCCTTGGGTTGCTGAGGATCAATCCGTCAGTTTTGACTCGGTCATTACGGGAATCATAGTTGAGGTTTATCCCATACCTTTGAAGGCAAGCACACTAGGAAATCCTTCTCTTGGATGTTGTAAGATTCGACTGTCTTGTCATCCTGAAGGATCTTTCCTACAAAGAGAAAAAAAAGCGAGGGTTAGACATGGCACCGTGGATGAAGAATCTGTCTATCAAGGGGGAGATACGAACCAGAGTAGATGACCTTCATGCGCTCTGCATCATATTCGCCTTTCTCTTGGGCGATTTTAACCTTGACCTCGCGAACCTAAACAGATGAGCCCCGCACTCGATGACGCTGGCTAGTTGTAGCGAAGGGAGAACAAACATACAGTCTCAGAAGGTTCGACATCGATGACGAACTTCTCCTGCTTCAGGTCCTATGGGTCGATGATTGTCAGCAGTCTGTGGCTGTGAGGACCCCAAGGGCAAGTTTTCAAAACGTACCTTGAAAGTGAGCTTCATTTTGCCGCTTTGGAGTAAAACCAGGGAGAAAAGGGGTAGGGAGAGCAGATGACGAATTGAGATAGGAGAAAGGGAGAGTAGTTGATGCAAAGGATCCTCTCAGCGATAAAGTCGAAGAAAAGTCGAAGAGAGGGAAAAGAAGGTAGGAGGGGAGCATTCAGAGTGACGATGATCGATAGCAAACGAGTACCGTGACCGCCTTCGGATTTACTTCCACAAGAATAGTTTGCCTCTTATGTTGTATGCCTGGTGATGTTCTTCTTTTTAGATGTTCTTTTTAAAGATGTCTTTTGCAATATCTTTTGAGATATCCGTTTAAATGCGAAAACGATAAAAGGCATACTTCTGTGCAAAAGACTTTTTTATCTATAAGCAGGGACCAGGGACTACTCAACGATCAAGCCATGACAACTTCACGGCGCAGCTTGCCCGAAGGATCTCTTCATCTTAGGCTATTATTGTTATTATTGTGTACAACTCTCTCTCCATGTGCACATGTGCACATATAATAACTCAGGCCTACCCCATTTTATTCCAAGCTGGTTGCCTGTCGACCGCCACGATGACAACATCCCAGGCAGACGTCGAGAGTCCATAGGTTGGGGATGCAGATCTGTGTCCCAATTTGGTCCGAATGACATTGAAGGCTTTTCTAGAATGAATACTCAGGACTGTTGAACTCCTATATAATACAGTAAGTATTAAGCGCCACTATTGCCTCTCAAGTAAGTAGCACGGACGTCGTACATTGCACATATACCCACACAGAAAAAGATACATATGAAAAACCCACAAAACACACCAAATCTATTAATTAAATTTGACAAATACTATCAATATCAATTGCATGCGGCAGACTTCATCCGGAAAGACATTGACCGAATCACAGGTAGACTTCAGGACAATCCACCCCGTATATACTCCATTCATGCAGGACAGGTCATGATATCCCGTCTGTGACTATGGAATATGGATCTATAAAATGTAGAAAGTACCATTTTGAATTTGGCTAAACTCACACTATACTTAGCTCTGTCCGGTCTAACCGAGATCCAGGGGAGCGCGGAGATTTTCCTCTCGCAAGGGAGGGGGATACATCACATTCCGTCCGCGCTATTGAGATCGAGAGAGGATCCGCCACCTCGACTGGGCGGTGTTCATCCACAAGACTGATGGATCAGATTGAATAGTGCCATTGTTATAGTAAGATTAACCAAACTATCGGATTTCTACTCTGCAGGACAGGTCTGGGCAGGGGCCCTACCCCAGAATTAGGCGCCATGGCTTCGCCTCCTATGGCTAGAAATACGACAATTGCCAATATCCACACACAATTATGCATCTCCAACGGGATTTCTCTACCGCAACCAATCGACATAATCCTTGTCAAAGTCGATTCTTATCTACAAAGTTTAACCATCATGCTGGAATGATGGATCAGACCGATCTCTTTTGGGAAAGAGAAATTGACAGGTTGAGACTGCTTCCCCGATATACTTTGAGCCACGCTGAGATCCGCATCGCCCCGTCCCGTGTTGCGAACCCTCTTGTGCGTCTACGCATGCTCAACTCATAAATATCGACATCTTCCCTCTCATGAAATCTATAGATCCGTTACACTCATTGCCTGCATTGGTAAACGTCTGGGATTGGCAGTCTGCCAACATTTGACATCTCCACACTCTCTTATTCTCTTTTTGATATACTCCCAGGCCATTCTTTTTGCCCGAGTCTTTCTCTTCTTTTCCATTATCATGTCTTATCTATCTTACTCACTGGCGGCCGCCTCCCTGCTCGTAACATTCATTGTCACCATTCTTAATGGCATCTGCTACGCAATCTCGAAAGCCTCGCCCAATGTGGCCTCAACTATTCTAAGTGCAGTGAGCTGTGTGGCTTTGATTGCCCTCAGTCTGCTGCACCACCAAAACATTCAAGCCGGCCGCCAACAATGCATCTATTTCGCCGGCGGATATCTCCTCATTGCCGCTGCTGCATCTGCCGGGGCAATGGCAATGAGCCCTCAAGGCTCGGTCTTTGTGGTTCGCTCTGTGTTCTGGGCACTATCAGTCTTTGCACAAGGCTTGTACTGTGGATTCCTTGTGATGACACTAGTCCAGGAGAAATCCAATCCTGAATGGCCGCGGGCATACTCCGAAGAGCCCTACTCCCAGGAGCTCAAGAACATCCCACAAAGCCCTAATTTCCTTCCATCCCCCCTCGAGTATGCGACTTGTCCGAGCTATTCGAACCCAAAAGATCCTCACTCCGCAAATTCCCTCGGCGATCCAGCCGCTACTCAGACGCAACACTCTGTCCTTCAAGCACCAAGGAAGAAAAGCACGCTTCCATCGACACAAATTCCTCAACCCACACCTCACCAAGCCCATCCCCAACACGGGACAGAAAGCCAGACACCCTCCCAGACCGGGACACTCACCTCCTCCGAGGCCCCCACAGCATCCGTAGCATGCCCAGCCTACGCCGCAACCCACCAACCGCACTCTCCTTAGACAGTTTAGTACACCCATCAATGCCTTCACCAACCGCGTCCACAATCCGTGTCGACTCCCCCACACAGTCCACCTCCAACAACTCAACGTGGGAATACAACCCATTCGGCGAGGACAACATCCACCCTCTCTTCCGCTCAACGAGCCCCTGTCCATCCCCAACATTTGCACCGGGCACTATGGTCAAAGCCTCACCGAGCGCGGGACATACCATCACCCCAGGGACGATCACGCGCATGAGATCTGCCCGCTCCCTCCGCGACCAGGCGATGCGTACGCCCTCCCCGTTGCCCGGGTTGGAGTCGGACGAAACTCTCCGCACGAGACCGAATCCGACTCGAGTTGATTTTGCTAAGAAGAGATATGACTTGAACGAATCCCCTTATGAAAAGTGATTGATCTACCTCGGTACATCGTTATCCGCATGACTTGCAATGTTTTTTATTTTTGTTTATTTTTGCTTTTTTGCTCTGTTCCTTGGCTTTTGGCCTTCTGCTTAGTTTTGTATATGATGGATGGATCTTTGGATATATTTTTGTATATAGGGAATGGGTGGGTGGTATAATTGGATATTTTGAAATGAACTGCGATTGCATATATTGAACCAGTGAAAGTATATATATTGGAGTTGAGCAGTAAATGTGGCTTTAATTGCGATTTGTATTGTTTAATCACGCCTTTGTATTGGATGATACCTGGAAGGTTCCTTTCATTCTATAATGAGGTATGCTAATCATAGACAGCCTTGAAGAGTGGCGAAAAAAATGTAATATTATACGCTTCGTGCTAGTAGCTAGGGATGACGTGGACTACAGCACCTTGGAGGAACAGACACATTATTCTCTATTGAAAATACCAGTAGGTTTGTGGAAATGTTTATAATAATTATTAGAGCCAATAGCGTAGGAATTATACTCCGTATACTTTATAGAGTATGTTGTAGGTCATCCGCATGCGTTGCTGTCACCGACTCTTAGACCAAGTGGGTCCGTCTATTTTTTTTCTGTAGGGGGAAGGGATATAGAAGGTAGAATGGTATAGTATTAGATAGAAGATGAATATATACAAAGTAGATTCATGATCATCAAGTTGAAAAGATAGAGAATACAGACAAGATCAATCTAATTACTAGACACGTAAACTCTTTTATGTTCACGGGGCCAAATACTCCGGTAGGCGTGTGCCGGAAGTGGCTGGGGATCGGAGATACATGGAGTATGGAGTATCTTACATACGGAGTATATATGACTCTGTTGTTCTTAGGCAGAAGTAATAGAATGAATAGAATGAATGAACTGTATAGCCTATTCAAGGTTGAATGTTATAATGTATAATGTGTAATGTATAGGTGTTTGTATGCTCTTCCAATTCCCGAGCCTCCGCCGAGTCACGAAAAAGTTGCCGATGCTCAATAGAATAGACCAGAGAATAAGAATGGATTCTGTTCTAAATTGAATGCATTTGAATTGAGAATGTGAATAAGATTATTCTCGAGTGATTGTAATATTGTTTCTTATTGTTAATCTATGGGAGAAGAATCCAAGGTTCAGCTCTATTTCCCATAATCAACTTGTTTTGACCTTTTCCCTTTCTTCTTCTTCTACTCTCTCGACCTTTTTTCTCTCTTCTCATCTTCTCTCTTCTTTACTCGCCTTTTTCTACTTTTTCTATTTTCATCTTTCTTACTCATTCCTCATATTCCCCCGTGTTCTTGTTCTTATTACTTCCATTCCGTTTTCTTCTATTATCTCTATCTGTTCTCTGTCTCCCCCCCCGTTTTTTTTTTTACTTGGCCCCGTTTTCCCCATCCACCCGGTCAAATCCTGCAGTAGATCTCTGCTTTTTCTCTTTTTACTTCGCATCTTTTTTCCCAAATCCATCGCTTTGGTAAGTCATTGCTTGAATCTGGACTGCTGGTTACATCACTCTCCCTTCCAATTTCCCTTGTTTTCCCTTATCCTTGAACGCTTCAAAAACCCTGTCTCCTTGATCTTGGCCTGGACGTTCTTTGGTTCTTTGGACCTTTGAAACTTTGGGACCTTTGGGGATCTTGGGATCTTTTGATCTTCGGATCTTTCATCGCGCGTATCTCTACTTCGCGCTTTTCCTGCCAAGCCTTTTTTTCCACTCCAGGGCTGCTACCAACAGTGACGTTTCCTTTTTGCATTCTGCATTTGGCAACGCGACTTGTACTTTTTTTCTTTCCTTTTTTTCTACTATTTCCCCCTTTGAAGCCACTATACTGTTTTTTAAAATCCTATGATGTATCCTACATTCGATCTACTGTTCAATTTCCCCTCTCCCTGATTTCCCGCTCACCCCCTTGCTGCTACTCGATCAATTTTCCCCGTTCAAAACTGATTTTCTCCAGACCAACAGCGATGGTGGGAAGAAGGAAGAATCGCGCGGCTGCACAGCCTGCTACCAGGACTCCTAGTATCTCTACGCGATCTGGGCGCACCGCACAAGGTAAGTTCATCCAAGTTGGCGCTATTGGTCCCATCTCTGACCCTCATGTATAGATACCAATATTATTCCAGTTCCCACTACTCGTGGAAGAGGTCGAGGCAGAGGACGTGCTCGCGGCCGTGGCCGCGCCAGTCTTCCTGGCCATCTTCCCTCTAATGAATCATTGAGCAGACCAGAAGTTCGCTCGCGCATCATCAAATTAAAAATTTCCCCTCTCAGACTAATTCAACATGCTGAATCGGCTTCTGATGCCTATGAGGAAAATGAAAACGCAATTGCCGTCTCACAAAACCCAGAGACCCCTCGCACCCGGCGTCCTCGGCATCCTCGGACTGTTCCTGAGTCTTCACGGACCACCCGGCAGTCAGCAAGACTGAAGCCGGATGGAGACGGCGGCTTCGAAGAAGATGCCTCGCCAACCAAGGCCGTTGATAATCAAATCACCGAGCCAGATGACGATGATGACATGGACTCTGATCATTATGATGAGGAATTCAAATCAGAACCTCCATTTCAAAAAATCTCGCAATCTCCTGAACCTCGCATGGTTGCTTCAGCCCCCGTGTCACCTAGAGCTACTCAAATCGACTCTGCTGATGCCATGGTCGACGATATGAACAATAACATGAACAGCATCTCAGAGCCAACCAAAGCAAAGGCTGAGGAAACCCTCGTCGGTCAAAGTCCCAATATTTCCCAGATTGAAGCAGCGTCATTCAGTGCGGTGTCTTCACCCCGACTTGCGCGCAAGCGAAAGTCACTTGAACTGCAAAATGAAAAACCGGATGTTGATTCCGAGGATCTTATGAACAAAAAGCTTCGCGTTGATGAGACTGAACTCGAAGAGACTCCAGAGAGCCACTTCCAAAATGGCACAGAGCTGGATACTCAAAATGGAACATCCCCCGGAGGATATCCCTATTCCTTCAGAAGAATTCGACCCCCCTGCTTACAACCCCACTGTTCGAGGAGGCCGTGGAGGTCGAGGAGCCCGTGGCGGCCGCGGTCGAGGACGTGGCCGGGGCCGTGGTCGCGGAAGCCGCGGTGGATTCGTTGGCCCAATTCGACCTACAGCAGTCACCAAGCCTCGTGGTGGCCGAGGACGTGGCCGCGCCAAGGCCACCATTATCAAACGCGGCAAGAAAATCGAAGACGAGATCTGGGACGCCACCGAAAATTGGCGTGGTCCCACCCCGTCGCCTACTCCTGAATCAATGCCGACAAAAACTCGCCAGGAGGAAATGTCTGTGCTCTTCAAGAAGGTTGGCCAGGCGCAGCATATTGCACTGAGTTTCATGACCGATCAGACCATGCACAGACTTGCTCGCGATAAAAATGCTCACAAAGACTGTCCTGAATTCGAACAAGTCCAGCGGGATCTGGATGAGTACGAACGCAAGGCAATTGAAAGAGTGAGCAATGAATACAAGGCGAACACCGAGTTGGAGACTCGAAAGTATGAAGCTAATGTTCACATTATCAAAAACACCTCAAGGGTAAGTTTGAATTTTATTCGTCCCATCTCATCACCGAAGGATTCTAACTTGTGGAAACAGCTACTCATCGAGCAAGTCAAAAAGGAGACGCTTACAATGCTTATGGGCAAGATGATGGCCATGATCCAGGGCCGCAGGGTGGCCGAGGATGATGAACACACCGAGGTAAGCACTGAAGACTTTAAAAAAAAAAAACGAATACGCAGCTAACCCGTCTCCAGTACGATACATCGGATTCAGAAGAATCCGTGAAGCAATTCCTTTTCCGAGACGGCGAGACGGCGGCAAGACAGGTGGAGCGTGGATTTGCCGCCGAAACAGTTCGAGACCCGGAGGGGGCAGTTGACTTTGTGGCGGCGGAGGAGGGATGGGATGACTTCGTCCAGAGAGCACGGATGGGCCGCTTGAACGAGGAGATCGCACCAACAGAAATGACCGATGAAGACGCCCTGCGAACGTATGCCAAGGATGCCTTCGGCAGCATACTTCATGCAGCCACCTACATCCAGGACCAAGAGGCGACTGGCAAGGTCGTCGGCTACGATGGCGCCGCTGATTTCCCAGTGCACCCACGTGCACTTTCCATTCTGGCAGATGCGGCTCTGACCGAGCCGCTGCCACAACACCTCCCAATGATGCGCACCGACCCCGGCACTCACCACCGTGCTCTCCTCCCCCAGCCCACCCACGCCCACCCGGGCCCTCCTCCCCTCCTCCCTTCACGGCCACGGGCCAACAGACCCGCGGTCGTTCATCCTGCCACGGCCCACCCCAACCCAGCAGCCGCGGCGCCTTCTCCCCGCCCGCCAGCAGCTGGGGTTGGGGATGGGCCTGCCGGACCCGTTTGCGATGAACGGGCCGCCGCAGCTGCCTCCTCCCCCCGGGCTCCAACTTCGCGCGCCTGCCCCTGCCGGGCTACATGCCCCAGGGCCACGCGCCCTCCCTGTACTTCCCGCCGCCGCCCCCCGGATCGCACCCCCCACCCCCCGCCGCGCGGGTACTAGACCCGCCGGCTTGTACCAAAATGTTTGTGTAGCGTTCCCCGCAGTTGATACCAATTCTTTATTTTTGTACGTTTAGTTATGATGCCCTCCCTTCTAAGTGGGGATAGGGGAGGAGGGCATCAGAATGAATAGAGTTTTTCTCTCATTTGAAATGATTTCTGTATGAGGTGAGATGTAAGATAGAGATAGGAAGTAGTAAGTGATGAGACATGTGAATATCAAAGCAAAACAAGTTCAAATTGAAAGTAAAGATGGGCAGTAAGTGGGCAATGAGAGAGATTGAAATGAAACCAAGAAATACCGTAATAAGAGAAGACGCCAGAAGCAATCTCCATTCACATGGAGCCTCTGTCATCCTGTCATATTTAATCTTTCCACATCCCCCTCTCATCTTCCACTTCTTCTTGCCTTCTTTCATGGCATCCC